ACAGGGAATCCAGAGCAGATGAGCCCTTCAGGACCAGTGGTAAGAGTGGCAATACCGGGAGGGTAAAGGGGAGGTGGGGTAGAGAGGGGGAACCGATTACAAGGATCTACATATAACCTCCTCCCTGGGGGACGGACAACACAAAAGTGGGTAAAGGGAGATGTCAGACAGTGTAAGATATGACAAAAAAATAATAATTTATAAATTATCAAAGGCTCAAAAAAAATTACCAAGGGCTCATGGGGGAGGGGGTAGCAGGGAATGAGGGGGGGAAATGAGCTGATATCAAGGGCTCAAGTGGAAGGCATGTGTTTTGAGAATGATGATGGCAACAAATGTACAAATGTGCTTGACACAATGGATGGATGGATGGATGGATGGATGGATGGATGGATGGATGGATGGATGGTGGTAAGAGTTGTATGAACCCCCAATAAAATGATTTTTTTTTAAAGAAAAAATATTGCCATCGAATTAGATAATCTAGGTGGACAAACTTTGAGAAACACACACATTATATAAATTGACTTTAGAAAAAATTATACTATCTCAGTGGACCTTCAACAAGTCCGAAGAGACTGAAACCTCCCAACAAATCAGAAACTTCCCAATCAAGAAAGATCCAGGATAGGAGGTGGCCTCACTAATAGTCTACCAATCAAAGATTAACATAACATAAATTCTTAAACTCACAAAACTGAAGAGGTGGGAACTCACCAAATGACTCCGGCGTTACCCTGATACCAAAGTTTAATAGATATACCAAAAGAAAAATAAAATTAAAAAAAACTGAGGAGGCATTTAAAGTTTGTAGAAAAACTCCACCATCTTTTAATTCCATTTTTTCTATGAATTTTTTTTTAAAGATCTTTCATTGATATCATTAAACAAACAAGCAAAAAAACCCTGAAGAGCTTGCCTGGTAACTGAAAGGTTGGTGGTTCAAACACACACAGTGCTTCCATGGGAGAAAGACCAGGCAGTCTATTCCGACTCACAGTGGCCCTGTAGGACAGAGCAGAACTGCCTCTGGGTTTTCCAGACTGTAAATATTTACAGGAGTAGAAAGCCTCATCTTTCTCCTGCAGAGTGGCTGGCTGGTGGTTTCAAACTTCTAATCTTTTGATTAGCATCCCAGTGCTTAACGCATTTATATGTCATCAAATGGGGTTTCTATCAGTTGGACTGGAATCAGCTCGATGGCAATAAACAATAACAGATACAGGAGAAATTTAAATTTTATACACCCTCTTTCCATTAAGGTATTAAAATGTGATATTTCAATGTAAGAACCCCCAATAAAAGTAAGAAATAAACTTATCAAGGGTTCATGAGGGAAGAGGGTAGGGAAGGGGGAAAATGAGGAGCAGATATCAAGTAGAAAGAAAATGCTTTGAGAATGATGATGGCAACATATGTACAAATGTGCGTGACCCAATAGATGGAAGTATGGATTATGATAGGACTGTAAGCGCCCCCAATAAAATGATTTTTTAATGTAATCTTTCATCAGTTAAACAGATGCCCAAGTTCTAGTTTCGCTGGTGACTGTGGACAAGCTCTGTGCAGCACTGAGCTCGGTGGAGTTCTCAGGAGTATGTTACCAGTGACTTAGAAGCTACAGAAATAAAGATCCAGCCCACATTGCTCCTGCTGGTATCAAAGTCAGCTGAGGCTATATAGCACTGGCTTCTTAGATGGGCATCAATCACGTGGATTATCACAAACATAATCTTAATGCGAAAATTTAGAGCTGAGGCCTACAGCTGACAGAGGAAAGCCATTCCTAGTTATAGCTGTCTAAAAGGCAATGGTCCTGTCCAAAAGACTGCAATCCTCCTTCCCACACATGCGTACCTTCGTCAGAGATGCTTCTGGTTTTTGAAGGCAGTACTTGATCACATTCAGGGCCAGAATATAATTCAGTGTGATCCATTGCTTCAACCTTTTGAAAAAACACACAATTGATATTTTCAAAATACTGGAAACAACTGTATATAGGTTTGAATATATGCATTATTGTAATACTTGGTAGAAACCTGGGATTAAAATCCAACATGAGCTAAAAGGTTAAGAGGGAAAACAAGAAGGAAGTGTTTGCTTATTTGTAGCTCACCTGATTTAAACTTTTGTAAGGGTAGGGATTCAGGGAAGCATTATTCACAATAGCAAAGGGGGACACAACCCCAATTTTCACCAGCAGATAAAGGGGTGAGTAAAGTGTAGACAGCCAAACGCTGTCACATTTACTCAACCATAAAGAGAAACAAAGCTCTGATACAACATGGACGAACCTTTTGACTCTTGCTAAGTGAAGTCAGACACAAGTGGCAGATATCGTGTGACGACACTTAAGTGAGATCACTAGAACAGGCAATGCCTAGAAAACCAAGCAGATCAGTGGGCAACAGGAGTAAGTGGGAGAGGGAGATGACAGAATGACTGCTGACCGGGTGCCAAGTCTCTGCTCAGGGGGATGGTAACCATCTGGAAAGAAAGAGTGATGGCTGCACAACATGGCACATATAAGTGCTGCTCAAGTGCGCCTATAAAAATGGTTTAAATGGCAAAAGCATTCTTACAGAGACTTACCTCAGTAACTTTTTTCTTTTTTTTTAAATACTTTTTATTGGGGGCTCTTACATCTCTTACCACAATCCTCCAGTGTGTCAAGCACATTTACACAGATGCACCATCATCATTTTCAAAGCATTCTCTTCCCATTTGAGGCCCTGATATCTACTCCCCATTTCTTCCCCCTTCCTCCACCACCTCCCCTTCCTCGACAAAGCCTTGATAAGATATATTATTGTTTCCATATCTTACATTGTTCCTCCATTGCTTCTCACCCACTTTCCCGTTATTCATCTCCCTGGGAGGGGGTTTTAGTTTGATCCTTGTGATCAGTTGTCTCTTTCTCTCCCCACCTTCCCCTAAACTTCTTGGTATCTCTACTCTCATTATTGGTCCTGAGGAGTTTATCTATCCTGGATTCCCTGTGTTGCGGGCTCTTATCTGTAGCAGTGTGCATGTTCTGGTCTAACCCGATTTATAAGGGAGAATTGAGGTCATGATAGTGGGGTGAAGGAAGCACCAAAGAAACAGAAGTTGAGTATTTCATCGGTGCTATAATGCACCCTAACTGGCTCATCTCTTCCCTGTGACCCCTCTTTAAGGGGATGTCCAATTGTCTACATATGGGCATTGGGTCTCCACTCCATACACACATATCCCCCAATTCACCTTGGGTATGGTTTTATTCTGGGTCTTACATGCCTGATACTTGATCCCTTCGGCACTTCATGATCACACAAGCTGGTGTGCTTCTTCCATGTGGGCTTTGTTGCTTCTGAGCTGGATGGCCACTTGTTTACCTTCAAGCCTTTAAGACCCCCAGATGCTATATCTTGATAGCCGGGCACCATCAGCTTGCTTCGCCACATTTGCTTATGCACCCATTTTGTCTTTAGCGATCATGTTGGGAAGGTGAGTTTCACAGAACGCCGGATTGTTAGAACCAAGTGTTCTTGTGTTAAGGGAGTACTTGAGTGGAGGCCCAATGTCCATCTGCAACCTTAATTCTTAACATATAGATATGAGTACATAGTTCTATTCCCCTCTCATTATATATATTTATATATGTACACGTCTGTATTTAGGCCTCTATAAATGTCCTTTGCCTCCCTGGTTCTTTCCTCTACTTCCTTTTTTTCTTCCCTCTTGTCCCATCCTGTTCAGCCTTCATTCGGGTTTAGTAATTCCTCGCTGCAACATTGCCCTTGATTGAGCCCCACTAGGCATCCTATGACCTTCCTTCCATTGATTTTAGTTCACTGGTTGTTCCCTTGTCCCTGAGTTGGTCCCCCCTCCTCTTCCTTTCTCCCACCTCCCCTTTTCCCGTATCCCCCCCCCCTTAACACTGGTTGACTCTCCGAATTATTTATCCCACCTAAATTATCTAGACAGACATGCAGATACATTAATAAGTGCAAAAAAGACGCAAAGCCAAATAAAACAACAAAGGAAGTCAAAATCAACAAAACAATACCAGCAAAAAACAAACACAAAATAACAATAACAAAAAGGAAGCCACTGACAAAAATGGAAAAGCCTATAAATAGTTCAAGGTCTGTTTGTTGGCTTTTATGCGTGTTTCCCAGTTGAGTCTTATGGGGTCCCACACTCTGTCTCCCAAGTCTATTTTGGGTTTTTCCCGGGGGTTTCATCAGTCTGATCCCCCTGATGCTCTGCTGCATGCCCTCAGTGCCTTGCCAGGAGAGGACCAGAGGACCGCAGGACTGGACCCACCACGAGACATGTCGTCCTGCACTGAACCTTGACTGTGGGGGGCATCACTGGAGACATAGTGTGGGAATAGTCCACGGTCTGGCCCCATCACTTTTTTCTTTTTTAATGAGGGTAAAAAAGGGACAGGAACACAGATTCTTACAATTTTAGAATGAGGAGGAGTCTAAGCTATCATATACACAAAACGTTTCCTTTTAGAGATGAGGGAGCAAAGGTGAGGAAAATTCAATGGCTTTCCGAGTGTCAGAATATAGTATGGGGGCCCAGGTCTTCCAAATGCTAGGCAGCACTCCTCCACAGCACCCCTCTGCTGCCACCTTTCTGGCCTAAAAGCTGCTTTCTCAATGAAGATTCCTGTGCTTATGAGTGTGTTATATAATAGGATAATAACATTATCCATATGTGAAATTTAATTTTTTATTTTATGAATTTTTCTTAAATGAAAAAGATGGTCTTTATAAATAATTATTCATACATTTTAAAGACAGAAAATTTGTGAGGAATTGATTACTAGTCCCTTTAAGATCTTTTAAAGCAAATGAGAAGAACTTCAGATATACTGACAATATTTGTAAAGTTACAAAAATTTCTCAGAATAAAATTATACTCAAGTTACAAGCAGGGTTGCCTTAAAAGCCACATTCTGGTTTAATAATCCATATTTCCTTTTTCTTGGTAAAAGGCATGGCTTCACTTCTCAGGCCCTTAAGCCAGTGTTTCTCCATACAGATCGATCTTACCCCCAGCACACATTTAGCACTGTGTGCAGACAATAATTGCTTTTCCATCTGGGGTGCTCCTCAGCATCCATCAAGCTAAGGTTGGAGATACTGCTAAGTATCCCATAACACCCAGGACAGATTCACAACAAAGAATTATCTAGGTCACAACAACGACAACAGAGGTCAACAGTGCTGAGGTTAAGAACTTTGGAGTTTAAGAAACCAAATTTCTCGTTAATGTGGTGAAAATTCAAGTGTCTACAGTCACACTACAAATCTGGTAACTCAATTTACAAACCAACCAAGAGAGCATCTCAGCAGAAAGCAAACCTACCATTCCGTGCCTGGGGAAATCCTGCTCGATGTTGTCAGCAATGTTCTGTATGGCCAGTAGCTGCTCATCAATTTCCTGAAGCTTAGACGTGAGATGCTCTAGTTTGCGAGCTGTAGGACTCAGGGGAGGTGACATATCAGGAGCCTCGTGCAGCAGTTTCCACAACAGGTGATCATCTGCAGCTGCTGGCTCTGGGCTGTGCTCTTTGAATTGGAACTCAGACGTTAGCAGATCTAGGTCTGGGGAAAAAATGCAATCAGAATTTATTATAATTAAGGAAGAGGGAGATACTGATCATGCCATTTTTTTAAATCTCAATTTAATCCAACATAACATTCTCTTAGAATCATTTAATAAACCTAGAAAGTCCGTTCCAGCCTCCTGAGTTTGGAGATTTGTCTGTGTCGTGAGCTAGAATGCATAATTATGTCATTATTACCACTTAGCTCCACATACACACAAGCTAGTTTCTATGTTACTTTTCCCCATGCTCCAAAAGATATACTTCATCCAAAAACATCTTTAAGTATTTCTGTGACTTAAAGACAATTGGGACACCAAGAACAATGTTGCACAGTAAAAGCTAGTCCCAAAGGTAGCTATAAATGACTGTATGTGGGATCTCAGGCTACAGTGACTGTGCATTTTCCATGGGCTTTTGGAAGATGAGAATTCCTTTATAACATCAAAGCACTCATGAACTCCCCCAGAATATTTATTTTGAGTTTCCATTAAATGAGAAACACGCATGCATCTGTAGAGGCATAGTTTTCTTGTAACATATCCGCGGGTCTCAGATTTGGATCCACAGACAAAACTCTTTACCCAGTGCTCACTGGTCCCCACTCTGCAGCAAGGGCAAAGTCTTTTTCTACTTGCTTTTGACCCTGCCGAGTTTTAGTGCTTACTGCTAAGATAACAGTAATCCATGGAAGGGGGTTTGGGGGGGATTGCTACTAGTCATGGCCTTTCCATTCACCTTTGTTCTGCTGTACTTCTGATGGTGTAGGTGAGATCATACGAGGCTCCTTCATTTCTGCACTACCTGCTCTCCAGCTTCTTCCATCCAGACAGGTGGGAGACATGCTTGCAGGTTTAAGAACTAAATCCATACCAGAAGTAGCAGATTCTAGCAAAAATATGAAAGGAATAATGACTTCTAAACAGAGTAGTCAGAAGATCGATAGAGAATGTCTCACTGTGAATAGAAACATCCAAAAGCACAGTGGGTCTGTGGGAGGGCAGCTGAGAGGTCTGAGTAGGGAGGACAATACTATTTTAAAATGTTTACTAAAGGTATTTATTTGAAAAGTAGAAAACACATTACCTTGACTCTTAATATTGTGGGGGGGCACAGCATTATTAAGTGACGCTGCCATACAATGTAACTCTGCAGAAGATGGGCCTTCTAGATGATCGCCTGACAGTTTAGTCACGTTAGCATCCAAAGGTTCTTCTCTGGCAGGTAATTCCTGAAGATCGTCAGCTTCAATGTCAATCACATCAATGTAAGTGTGTCCAACCTGAGCCAAAACATACACCACCAGAAAGGATTACCGTATACTCTTTGTACTGTAAATGGCTATTCTGCTCCCCACCCCCAAAAGCTTACTTTTTATCAATAACCAGACAAGGGCTTCTATGTGTCTAACTTAAAGAAAGCTGCAGAAAAACTGTGTTGTGGCCTCAGTTTACATTATTTGGGGTATAATACTTAATTTTTTGGCAGAAAATGTACGAGGCTTCAAAAAAGTTCATAGGAAAATTCCATTCTTATTTTCCATGCTTTGAAGCCCCTTTGTATTAGTAAACAAAACCAAAACCAAAACCCATTGCCATTCGAGTCAATTCCACCAACTCAGAGACCTGTGAGGTTTGTGAGACGGTAAATCCTTACAGGCACAGCCAGCCTCACAGTGTCTTACGGAGTGGCTGATGGGTTTAAACCACCAAATGAGACTAGCAGCCAGGCCTACACTTACCCCAAGGCTCCTAATTCACGATTCGAACTTCTAAATTGTATACAAACCGAATTTGCTTCCATTAAAGGTGACAAAGGTTTCTCTGAGATTGTAGTGGGAAACTTGAGGTCCACATATACATCTGGAGTCAACAGCTGAGGAACATGCAAGGGTTCATGTTCTGAAAATTGGGAAAAGAAAAATCATGAATACATTGTACATGGATCTAAGTCACTAACTTGATAAAAGATAAGCTAGGAACAAATAAGGAAAAAAATGTAGTTGTTGAAAATCCAAGTAGAAGCTTTACAGGTATAAATAAAACAAATCTGTATTTACTCAGATGACAATACAGAGTAATTCATAATTGAATATACATGGAATAAGACTATTGCTTTTCCTGTATGACTAATTTGCAAGCACAATAAAGTACCTAAATCATGCCAAGAAAATGCTACAATTTCCTGTTTCCATTTTGAATGTATTAACTTGTCATTTATTTAAAAGAATAGCAATGAAGATATATTTTAAGAAATCAATTCATAACTGTCTTTTTCAGCACTTTTTACTAATAGATTTACTGAGAAGTGGTTCACACCCTTCACAAGGTTGCAATTCAATGTTTTTAGAATGTGCACCGGGCCCAATGCTAAATCTTACTATTTTAACACCTAAATTTTACAAAAATCATTTGCTCATTCAAAAGTCAACACAATGAAGTGATATAGATCAATAGATACCTTGACTATGCTTTTTGTCCGAGGACTTGAAATACAGCCCCTGTATTTTACTTTTAATAAAGCATTACTTTAAAATTTTATATACAAAATATAATTGTCATATGAATACTAGAAACAAAGTTTGGATTTAAGCCATATGTTAACAAAAAAACAAAAAGAAAAATTACAGGTGAAAATACTTATATATCCATTAAACTAATTGGTTTAACTGGGGTTTTTTTTTGTTTGTTTGTCTTGTTTAAACAGGGAGTGGTAGCTCTGTTCTGGCATCTGGCAGACATCGTCTGTAGGAAGTCATGCTGACCCACAGGAAAAAACAACACACCTGATGCTGAAGAAATGAGTTGATTTTTACCACATTCAGAAACAAGTTCTTGAGAAGCAGCTTCCTTATCTTGTACTAAGTTAGGAGATTTGAGGGAAAATGGAAAATGAAAAAGAATATTACAAACACAAGAAAAATAAAATACATTGAGTACAGATAGATATTGTGCATAAAGAGGATAGAAGTGATGCCGGCTTACTGAATTAATCTTTAAGTAATTAACAAGATGATTTCAGACTTTATCATTGTTTACATCCAGGCCTACCCAGCCCTGTTTCAACAACAACAAAATTACGCAGTGCCCTCCTGCCCCTGGAAATTAAAACCTTTTGTATTATAGTCCATAATCCAGGATAAAATGTAGGTATCTGCTTTTGCAGCTTCCCTCAGGATTGGTCCAGCACCCCCATCCCCAGGGGTCAGATCCCCACCTTTGAGACACATTGGTTTAAATACTGACCCTGACGACCTGGGTTAACAAAAGAATTAGAAGATTGCCCAACGGCAAAGGCCAAGGCCTTCCAGAGGTTTTCTCACAAACATGTTGGAGAACAAGCACTTGCCCATCATTCTCCAGCACGTACTCATCCTTGACATCAGAACGCCTCTTATACGAAAGGGCTCCAAAGAGTCTTGGAAAAAGTACACAATCTTTCAATTCCATTTTTCCACACACTTTTTTTCAGGAAGAAATGCAAATGAAAAGAACAGTGAGATGCCATTTTCTGGAGGTTACACATTGGGCTGTTAAATGCAAGGTCAGCAGTTCAAAAACCAGCCACTCATGGGGAGGAAAGAAAGGCTTTCTACTTCCATAAAAAGTTACAATCTCAGAAAGCCACAGGAGCAGTTCCCCTGTCCCACAGTCAGAACTGACTCCATGACACTGAGTTTGCTACCTTATTCCAAAATAAAACTCTCCCTCATCCAGGGACCCTATAGGAAAGAGTGAAACTTTGCCTGGGGGTTTTCATGACTACATCTTGACAGGAGTCGAAAGTCCCACCCTTCTCCATAGGCACCCCTGTGGTTTTCAACGCTGACTTTGTGCTCAGCAGCACAAGGAACCCACTCCACCACCCCGACTCCTCCAACCTACCACCTTAGCTGGAAAAAAAGAGTTAGCTTAATCAGTGATTAAAAGAGAAGGTTCCTCTGGAGGAAAATACTCCACGAAGAATTATGTACAGAAGCCAAAACAAAAACAAAATCTGTACTAGTCAAGAATTTGTTCAAAATTTTTTAGTATACCTAGTAGAAGCACTATGCTTACAAAGTACTATTTGATGACACAGGGAAGTGTTCTGTAAAAATATAAGTCAAAATATAAATCAAAGGACATGAAATATAGGTATCCCTCATCATACAAATCTAATCTGTATTTTTTTAATTGTTTTATTAGGGGCTCAAACAACTCTTATCACAATCCATACATCAATTGTGTAAAGCACATTTGTACATTCATTGCCCTCATCATTCTCAAAACATTTGCTCTCCGCTTAACTGATCTGTATTTTAAGCGGAAAAAGTGCAGGTGTCCCAGCCCATCCATTTTCCCAAATCCCATTAAACTATTCTTGAACACTTAAAATAGCACCCCATCAGAGAAAGCTTTAGCTTTCCACAGCAAATAAAGCATTCTAAGTAGGACTTTATTTTTTTACATTGTTTAATCGGCGTATAATACACATGCCATAAAATTAAATGCTTTAAATATATTGAAGAATAATGTGATTTTGTGTAAAATGCACAAAGAATGAACAGAAAAAAGTGATGTAATTCTGGTAAATTTTCACATTCTTCACATAGTCTATGACAAATGTTCTATGATGATATTTTTTAAAACATACCAATTTATATGTATAAGTATGTAATATTTATATTATGTTCTATTAGAGAGGCTTTTAACAATACTGAGCAGTTCCACAGTTAATGAAGAGAAACTGTTTACTACACTCTAAGACACAATGAGCAGAACACTCCAGGTGCTGCTCAATAACTGATGACATTCATAGGGAGGTAAGGCAGGGAAAATCTCAAATAATAGATCCTCTAATACTTTTTCCTCTCCTCTTGGACACAGTTACAAACACTCAACCCCACCCAGACCTCCTCCAAGTTCGACTTTACCAGGCCTCTCTACGGAAGGCTATCAATTTCAGTGCAGGCAATTAAAAGCATTCCGAGTCCAGTGCAAACCATTATTCCCATTTGGCTTAGGATGTGTTCTATGGCATTTTGGAATAACAATAACATTTCTACTGAAAATTTTTACTTAAGTTATCATCACACTCAATTTTAAATTTCTAAACTATATACCAGGATTGGGGACAAAAACCTGGGATGAGCAACTAATATGCTGTTAAAATTTTCCTTGACACCATGCCCTGAAGTCAATATACCGTAAATATTTTTAAACATTTAATATTAAACAAAAGCAGCCTTTGTACCTGGGTCTGTATTTGTACTTGCATCCTGGCTTTCTATTGCTTTCTTCTTCACAGAGGCCATGAAATGCAATCCAGCCGAAGTAGTAACGTCACCTTGGAGCATCTCTTAAGTATAAAAGCCAAACAGTGGGAGATTATTGAGAAGCCAACATCACTTATTGGAGCCCACATGAATCAAAGAAGGTGGAGTGTATTGTGTTACCTACCCCCCCTCCCCAAAAATCATTGCTATCAGGTTGACTCCAATTCATAGCAACTTTATAGAACAGAGTAGAACTGCTCCTACAGGTTTCCTGTAGCTGTTTATCTTTATGAGAGCAGAAAGCCTCACTTTTCTCCTGCAGAGCATCTGGTAGATTCAAACTGCTGACCTTGTGGTTAGCAGCCCAACTCTTAACCCACCATGTTACCAGAGCTCCTATGGAGTGACTCAGGATGTCATCAAAATGAATTTTCTGAAGGAGGGGACATCTGAGTTTAAGACACTTCAGTGGAATCAAAACCAAATATCCCCAGAGGAGAAAGCTCAATGTTCTTCTGGCTAATGAAGATCCACTGCAAGTGGTTAAGTGGGGAAGTAACCAGATAAAATTGATATTCTGAAGTAATCACACCTAGATACCATATGGACAGAGACATAGACTTCCTATTGGAAAAACAGAAGTAGGACAATCACTTGGATGGAGCTTAGAAGTGAGACCCTCATTTAGTTACAGCAGTTCAATTATGAACTAAGCAAGAGTGAGGAATGATGAGGAAAAATTTAAGAACTGCAAAGGAGGTAAAAAAAAAAAACAGGCAAGAATGGATTGCTAATTCCATGAGAAGGGAGAGGGGAGGGTGAGCTTTAGAAGGGCCTGTGATCAGGGGTTAGGTTGGGAGCAGCACACCCAGGCGCAGAAGGCAGAAAGACATCCTAGTGTGAGGAGGAATAACGAGGGCACACTGAGCATGCTGTGCGTGAGGCAATTTCTATCCAGTAGAGACGTGCATCAGGAAGCAGGTCATCTATTCTCGAGCTTCAAGTAGATGTGTCTTTTGAGGCGAAGTCAACCCAGGAAGGACAGATACAATAAAAGGAATATAAAGTATGGTGTCTTCTTTAGGGTACTATACTCAAAAAACTCACTGCCATTGAGTCGATGCCCACTGATAGCAGCCCTGTACAACAGGGGAGAGCTACCTGTGCTCCAAGATTGTTTCCACTTTGGGGAATAGATAGCTCCGTCTTGCTCCCAAGGAGCGGTTGGTGGTTTTGAATGGCTGACTTGCAGTTATCAGTCCAACAAGTAACCATTATGCCACCAGAATTCGTTTAAGACATTATACAATCCTTAAAAATAACATAGTAGAAAAATTAACTAGTGATATGTGAGGAAGTTTCCAAAAATTTGTGGAAAAAATTACATGATTTTTATAATAGCTTAATACTGGTATATAAAGAAATAAGTTATAAGTGGGCTCACAAGCAATTATTTTTGAATAGCCATATACAGATATATCTGTATATCTATTTACAAATACATTGTATAGAGATGCTTATAAAATATAGCCTGCAGGAATGTTCACACTAGTTATTTTCTAGACAGAATAGTTATGGGGGAGGTTTCATTTTTTTTTTTTATGTTTCTCTATTTGTATTTTCTAATTCTTCAACAACCTCTGCAAAGAGAACAATGTTAATAATAGTGAAAAGAAAGTGGCTTTAGGTGGGAAGGTAGAACGCCAGGTAGATTAGGAAGTGGAGAAGCGGAAGCCAAGCAGCCAGGTGGAGGACTGTCTGGTGTGGGTCTGCAGGAACAGCCAGATGGAGGACTGCTTGGTGTGGGTCT